TATTAACTCAACAAGTGAAACGTGACAAGCCACCCCTAAATCTGTTAATAATGAATGTCTGTAATGCAGAGGTAATAGATTGAAACTTTTTCGAGATTAAGACAGGTATGCTTTAAAAAATCTTGGCAAATTTCCATCAATTGATTAGATGAAGTGACAATTACAACCTACGACATAATTTATTGAATACTTTTACTCGTAATGGTATTTGAAACTAAATATTATATAAATATTAGTGAATAATATAACATTGACTAGAAATTATGAAGTAAATCGTTATAATCATTTTAATTCTGATTATAACAGGATTTCCATTTTAAATAATTATGCAGAATTTAATTAAAATAGATGCTTTAAATATATAATATATAATCAGAACCTTTGGCACACGATATATATACGTGGTATGTGTGTATTTATATATGTATGTGGGTACTGAAAATTTAATTTTTAAAAGCATCTTTTATGGATGATTACACGTAGAAAAATATTTGAAAATATAATTCATTATTTTTTGAAAACTTTATATTTTAACAATAGTGCCTAGAGGTTTATAAAATTCAGCAGATTAACATAAATTTCGTTCTTAAAAAATAAGCAAATACTCATTTTTCCTCTTTTGAAGTAATCGTATCTATATTTATCTGAAGCTTCTATTCTAACAGAAAAAATACCATTTTACTTTTCAGAAATGTTTAGAAAAACTTTAAAACGGATGAATGAATATCTAAAAATTTATCACGAACACGTTTGACTATTTCAGAATATTTAAAATATCAAAGATAAAAAATAAAACTTAAGTTTATAATAAGTTTTATTATATTTATTTAAGTTAATAATAAGTTTTATTAAAACCAATATTATATTTTCATAGATCAAGTATTGTTTAACAAGTAAGGTTGTAAATTAAGTATGATTTAATAACAATTATTAGTTTGTAAAATTCTCAAGATAGAAAGCACTTGAATATACAAATTATATATCTGTAGTTTCTTAATATTTTGGAATTTTAATTAATTAAAAATTGTTACACAGGTTTCAAATTCGTGTAGGAATAAATGAATAAGGTATCATTTTTTAAAAATTTTATATTATAATAAAAAAACAACAGACTTAAAACTCAACAGTTCAGTTTGTTAGTAACAGATTGAACNTTCTTAACAAAAGTCTAGTAAAACTCGAAACTTTTACATATAATAAATATTATTATCATAAGCTTTCAATCGATTTATTCTGATTTTTTTTAAAAAAAAGGAAATTCAAGAATTCGCTTTTCTTTTATAAAATAATTCTTTCAGAAATAATTAACATAAATTTTACTTAGTAAATTTTAAAATGATGTCAGCGCTTAATTACCGCTGTAATATCTTTTCTGTAAGTTGTAAATATTCAACAGAAATTTTAAAATCTTGATTACTCTAACGTGTACTGCTCGGAAGATTAATATACTATAACATGTGTTTAACATTTTTCTGATATATTTTAAGTTTATGTAATATATTCAGCTTAATATTTATGATCCCGCGGAGGTCGCATAAAAGGTTCGAAACTTTCATTTTATGGAAACTTTTAGGAATTAGAATTGCCTTAAGATATTTATGAGGGCTAAAACTCTATATCTCATGGTCACCTGTGGCAGAACCTGTATTTTACGGGAATCTATGGGTCTAGAAGCTTATTTGACGACACTTAGGGGACCGAAAACTACTATTCTGAAGAAAATTGGGACTTTGAATTTACCTTAAAAGTCTATTTATGTAGAAATAGCCTTTTTTTATTTTTGTAATTTTCTTTTGAAAATACTAATTTTGAGATAATTGAATAGGAATATTTAAAATAATACCCCGAAAATTGCGTCGTTTTATATTTTACCACGTTAATCAATTGTTACGATTATTATCAATAATTTTGAATTTTTAAGATAAAAAATATCGGTAAAAACTATATTAATTGAATGATTAGGTAAAAAAAATTATCTGTTTACAGTATGTCAAATATCTATAATTTCAATCATATTTTTCATAGGAAAAAAATTACGTCACGATAACAAATCGAAGAGATTATAATTAATAAATAAAATATATTTATGTGGTAAATTATTACACATTTTATTATAATTTGTAATAATTAAATATATATAAATTAAAATTCGCATTTACGTCATTATTACATTTTTAACCAATCAAGATTCTTGTAAGAACCAATTTGGACATGTTATTAAAATTTATTTATCTTAAACATTTTTAATTTTTAAAAAAATAATTTAAAAATTAAAATATCGAAATAAAATATTTACTTTTCTAATTTTGCTTTGATGATAAAAAATACAATTTTTATTTAGTTTTAATAAACTACTACATTATCTAATATGAAAATATTTAAGCTTTTATATAATTATTAATTTACGTATTAGAAGAATGTGAAAAAATATATAAAATTACGGCTTAATATATTTATTAATATTATTTTCCTTAATTTTCAATAAATTTTGTTGTAATTAATTATTAAAAGAATTATAAAATGTTCAATAATTATACCAGTTTACGTTTCATCAAATATTAACTAATCGAGCAAATTTTATTTAAAATAAAAACGTTTAATAATAAATTTATATGCGAAATAATTTTAAATTAATTTAGTTAGGTATGAAATCGATTTGATTGATATTTATAATTAAATAAAATATTAATATATTTTGAAATTTTAACCAATCAGCTAATAGAATTTGAATAAATTTTACGATTATTGATCAAGCTAATTGCATAAATTTCATAATAAAAATTCTATTTATTAAATAATTATGATTAAATTTCAATAAATTATCATCATTTTAACATAGTATCCGTTTCTTCAATATTAATTTGTTTATATCCGATCCAATTATTTACTGTTTATGCACCTAATTTTAGACTGTAAAATATTTATAAATATAAAATTCAAGAAAGATTTTTTAAAATAATATTTTCATAGTTCACTTAATAAACTAATTTTAAACGATTCGTTAACTTTTGAATTTTAACCAATGGGNATATGTATTAACATAATCAGATATTCAATTGCAACAGTTACGTCTGCTACTGAAAGGTTATTTAACTAATTGTTAATTATTATTGATTTATTTACGTGGAAATTTCTTCTAAATTTTTAAATTAAATTTTGTTAATAATATTGATTATAATTGCGTCACTATGTCGGAGTGTTTCTACAACAGTGTAGCCGATTGGAAAATATTGTGAAGGACACTCCATCACAACTGTCATGATGTCAGATTTTATCACCGGCAGCTGTACATTCTCGGAAATTCTTTCATATATGTATATAATCCGTATTAAAACAGAAGAATTAACCTTAATTTGAATTATTTGCGCTTCCGTTAAGATAAAAATTACTACTAAAATAAGCATTTATCTGGTGTAAACTTCGGAAGTTTTTAAGTACTGACGTAACTCTGATAGCCATTATCATGATTGATTTTACTCTGTACATCCCGGTACAAGTGATTTATAATATGTGGATTTGATTAATGATTATGCATGGATTTTTACTGTATTAAAAACTGTAATAAAGCTACTGAAACTTTTAGTTTTTTCTTTTTTCTTTACAAAAATCTATTTATTCGAGATTTTTAAATATGTAGTTCAGTTTTTGATGAAGAAAAAAATTGATCAAGATGCGCGCTTTAATAAAACTGTTATTATTTCTTAACAAAAGTCTAGTAAAACTCGAAACTTTTTACTTTTTCTCAACGTAAAAAATTCCTATTTTTTATATTTTCATTAAGTTTTCTTTAGAAATAAAATGCTTTAACATTATCAAAATGCAAATGTTTATTCAAATTCTCTTAACTAAAAATGATAAAAAATTAATTATTAAAATATTACTTTAATATTTAAAATAATTATTAATAAATCAAAAATATTGGAAAATTATTCATCTTATTATGTATTTTTTAAAGATATTTAGATACACAATAAATATTTTTATTGTTTATGGATAAATTTTGGCTGTCTCCCAATTTCCCGCATTGCTGCTGTTCCTGAATAAAAAATATTTTCGGGTTTTTTATTCTTTATTATTATTAAATAAATCAACCTTACAGCTGCAATCAACGAATGAATTCAAAATTACACAGGAACATCCATTTTTGATTTATTTTATATTCTGTACAGCCCATCCTAGATTTATATAGTACACTACACAAGTGTACAAGACAAAACTTCTGGATGAATATATGCAATGTATCATGGATCTCTTCTGGTATCTCTGTTATTGGATTTATATACATCAGATTTTTGTATGAATATATATGATGTATGTATAAAATATCTAAACGTTTAGATATTTTTCATTTATTTATTTATAAAATTTTATTAATTAATATATTGTTTTAAAGTTTATTGGCTTTTATTTTGATTCGTTTTATTAAATTTTTTAATTAATATTTTAAAATAGGCATATTTTATTCATGGAAGAAAGGAAATGATGCTGGATTCTGTGTATTTGAATAAATATGCATTTATTTACATGTATAAATATATTAATTGCAGATGATTTTTAAAATTTTTTTAATACTTTTTTCTCATAATAATTTAGTTATTATATTTTATTTTCTTGTCGAAGTTACGTGTTTTGATTTTTATTATATAATATAAATAATAATAATTAATAATTTTTCTCCAAGTTTTATTATATATAAAGGCATTTTCTCGTGTTCTTGTTCCATTTTATAGTGTCTTTTGTTATAAAAAAATTTTGTATTTCGTATATTCCTGTTACAGAAAATCGAAACGGTTTTTATAATTTTTTAACTTCATTTTTTCAAAATAAAAAAGGAGATAGGTTATTTGAAATCTTTTTAAAAGTGTAATTAAATAAGAAAATTTATAAACAGTATTTGGACAGTATTCAAAAATTCACCGCAAAGATGCGGGTTGTTTTTTTAAAGCATAAATTATGCAAATTGTTCGAGTAATAATATTTTTATAAGATGTTAAACTCACCCAGTTCGTCAATCGCCGGAGTCAACGATAAAGTGGCTCCAACTAAGAACACACAAGTCATCATGATGAATACAGCCACAGCACCGATTACTGCGACCACCAACCGTCGTCTACCGCTTCCTTCTGCCGCATTCCGATCTTTTCCGTACGTTCCTGCAGATCCTAATGAATATCGAAGATACAGCGGCGTGTTCGTGTAAGTTTTATTGCTAATTGTTCTAGATGCAAACAGTGTAGCATTCGGGGGCTTCTTTCTGCAATGATGATGATGCCTGTGATAATGACGACGATGATGGTGATGATGATGATGATGGTGATGGTGGTGATGATGATGATGATGCCTCCTGCGACCCTCCGTTCTACCACTTCCGTTGCTCTTGCTCCCGCATTCCGGCCGTATGCACATTTTTCTTCTTTTCGTTGCGATTCTTAATTTCTCGTCCGGATAAGAACAGACTCTCCAGATTCTATTTTTCTTCAATGAGGTGTTTAGTTCTTCTGTAAAGCCGATGCTATCTGGAAGAGATAGGTAATGTGCACCTCTGCACCAGGAGCCAGGTGGATTGCTTTCCTCTTGCCATTGATCTACCTTTAATAAAATACCGGAATCTACTTTTCTTACTTCGAAATATTCTGGGCTACTAGGACGGACTCTTGTCGGGCTCACTAGATGGCTCTGATGATTCGCTAGTTCACTTGACATTCCCGCACTCTTCTCTCATCTCGCGAGTTTCATGTCCACCTTTTACAAGAGCGCCTACGCTTCGTTGTGAGAATGAAACACATGGCGCCTGCGCACTATTTCATATTTTCGCCTGGTCCTACCAAAGTTTTCTTTATGAATTTTAGATTTTAAACAGAAATTTTTCGCTATTTTCATTTTTTTTAAATATATAATCCGATACCGATCTAAAGTACAGTGAAATATTCTATTTTACTATTCTTCTCCGATCGCGTTTCGCAAAACTAAAAAATAAAAAAATAAAAAAATTTTTACTTTTATATAAATTTTGAAAATATTAAAAAATATATCGAAATAATTTGATTCCATTTTCTTCAATAAATTATCATATTTTAGAAGGAAGAAACGAACATTTTTCTTCGTTTGGACGCTTTGAATTTAATTTTTAAATACACAAAAATCAATTTTTCATATTTTATTTAATTTTTATTAAAATGAATTTTAGTTATAATTAAAATTGATGAAGATAAGTGATTTACGATTTGATAAAATTTACAATTTATTATTAAAAGTTGCATTTAATGAATACTAATTTTACATTAATTTTAAACTTTCTAACTTATTAAATTATACATAATTAGATTAATTGTTTGATGATGATATTTAATTTATTATAACATCGAATTTTTTATTTTTAGTAGCAATTTTATTCCTCTTCGTCTACACGAATTTGAGAAAATACTGGAAAAAAATACAGCTTAATTTTCTCATGTTAATAAATAAAAATTTAATTAATTCTTATAAATATTAATTTTTTGAATTTATATATTTATTAAACATCCCGTTTTGAAGAAAATTAAATGAATAATTAAATAAAACAGCCATTTTAATTATGCAAAATCTTATATAGTAATTAATTAATTAAAACAGGAATAAATTTAACTGCCAGAAAAAATAAATTGATCTCTTATAAGATTATATTAAGAGAATTTCCTTCATAATTTATATATTAAATTCAGTATTAAGTAAATTATAATACTCTTTTACATTTTCTTGGAGAATATTTACCGACTTCTTAATGATATTTACATAAATTTGTACACAATTCACAATACTTCTTAAGCGTTAGAAGCCAGTTACAAAGCTAGAAAATTTATAAATCAAGAGTTTTCCGTAATGAATACAATGTCTAAACCGTTGTAATTTTATTAATTTTACCACAATCCATATAGATTGTAACATGTAGAGTATGACCTGGAGGAATATAGTTTATATGTGATATCAATTAAGAACCAATGCGTCGACAAATTTTACAGATTTTTACACACAACTCTTATAATATTAAAGATAAAATGTATATAAATATTTTTTATATTGAATTTATACAATTTATCAACTGTTTTCTTTAAATTTAACGGAATACGTAGTAAGTGGGGCGCATTACGCCAACGTTTTTTGCTCCTTTCAACGTTTTAAAAAGTTCAAAACTGTACTAGATCAATATAAATCAAATTTTATATAGAGATGTAGTTCTTATCTGTTCCAAAACTATTTCCTGTGGGGTAGAATGTTATGTATTTTAATGGTATAAGTTTATTTCCGCTCAAGTCGGAAATTTTTCAAAATTTTTTAAGCATTAAGGAAGCGGAGTTTAGTCGAATGAAAACATAAAAATATCAACAAAAATATAAATAATATTTTCTAAATATAGAAAAAGTAATAAATAAAATGAAATCATAAATAAATATTTTATAAAATTACAAATAAATTGATATAAAAGATCCATCTATCAATTTTTTTAGCGATAACATTTTTTGAAATATACAAAATGTATTGAAATCGTTAACTTTGTAGCAAAGAAGAATATTTTAAATAGAATCATATTTATTCATTTAAGCATTGCGATGAAAATAAATATTTAAATATCAATAACAAACAATATATATATATATGTAATTATAATGCGAACTCGAGATGTTTATTATATTCGTTACGTCATAATTGGGTAGTTTTCCAGAGCGAATTTCGATCGTTTCGAGCTTCAGTATATAATACTTAAGCTAAAAATAATATATTTCTCTTAGAATATTCTTCAAAATATTATTTTTTGAGATTAAACATGATAGAAGAAGAGTAATGCAACTGTATTTCGTCTTCTCTAATCTTTAGCATATATGATTGATATGCGCTAACAGAACCAAAGTGCATATCTTCAAATAGTCACACGAATTTTTCTATTTTTTTTTTTTTTTTTAAATGGTTAAAATTTGGAAGAGTATTCAAATCGATTTTGGATCCTATAATCAAGCTTTCGACTATCGATCTCTAGAAAAGTTTATTCTAATGTATACAGTATATCAAGGAACATCTGTAACTCAGAATCATCTTCTATCTGAGATGGATGATTTATTCTTTGCACTATAAATCTTATAAATTAGTAAAGAATCATCTGCAATAATACTTCATAAATGCTTCAGCAGCTGCTATTTCTTAAAAATAGGGTAAATTCATCATGATCTAACGAGTAATTTTTATTCTTTTGTACGAAAAATAAGTTTTCAACAGCATAAAACACGATTAAAACTTTCACTAATTCGCATAAAATAATTAATATATGTATATAATAACAATTTTCATAATTATTCTAACATTAATTAACTTTAATAATTTACATTAATTAACTTTCAACTGCTGCTATATAATCCAGTGCTTGTCAGAAACNAAACAGTATAATGCAGTTTCTTATTATACTGCAGTATAGTAAATGTATCATTTACTGTACATATGTAAGCGTTTTCTAATCTTTAAACCTGCATCTTTTTTTCGACCGTGATCTTTATTCAGAAAGTAATTTTATCTTCCAAATTTAAAATATTTGAACACAGTTCCTTATTTTTTTTTAAAATAGTGAAACTTAAATTCCACACAAACTTTTCCTAATTATAAAATCGATAGAGGATTTTGTTTTCTATATATATACGTACATATCATTATATTCAAAATGCTAAAGTCCAGAAATTTATTTTTTATTCTGCACTTCATTATCTATTGGATTTTAACCGTTGGATAATTTTCACTACAGAAAAGTTGGATATATGTATATAATAACAATTTTCATAATTATTCTAACATTAATTAACTTTAATAATTTACATTAATTAACTTTCAACTGCTGCTATATAATCCAGTGCTTGTCAGAAACCACATCAGAGAAATTTAACTTCTACTAATGCGGTATAACAACTTAATATCGACAATTATTTTAATGTTTATTTACGATAATTGGGCACGATTATTTTTATAAGTTGAATACAGTATAATTATATAATTTTAACGAATAAATTCAAAATTTAGCATTTATCTTAACGACGAAAGAGCTGCAGTTCACTATAACAAATTGTATAATTCACGTAGTCTTTTAATAGTTGTACAGATTACATGATGATTAACGATGTAATACACGAAATAATATTGCATTTAATGATATATGTTTTGTAGTAGTAACATATAAACTTCTTGATTTAAACTGATATCCCCTGCAGAAAATTTATCACCTGTTGCAAAACATCCCATATTGATTTCCTGTCTTTTCATCACAATATTATTTTTTATTCTATCATCATACTATAGAAGTACAGTACATCGCTCGTTACAAACGTATTAATTGAATTACATTACATTTTATATAATTAAAATTTACAAAAATAATTATTTTATATTTCAATATACACATTTTAATACAGTTAAAATGTAATTAATTAATGTATTTGCTTTGAAATTACTATAATTAAAAGAGATAAAAACAAACATATTCTCTTTGTTTTGACTGTTAAATCTCTATAAAATTACGAGTTATATAAATAATAATATTAAAAAAATTATATTTATTATATAAAAATAATTTTGGAATATGACTAATTTATGTGGATTTTAATTAAAATACTGTCAAACCCGATATAGCGCTCTTCTAAATAACAACACCTTCGTAAAGCGTTAATGAATACTTGTTAATGGTCCTTCCCCAATACGATTTTGCATTGAAATGACTTCATAACAAGTCGTGTAATTTTAAATTTTCAAACTCAAATCATTGTGGATCTCATTACCATATATATTTCTCATTGTCTGAGGTAGCTTAGAATCACCCTCGGTTTAATGCTAATTTTATAGATGAACGAATGGCGCGCTAAATTGAGATTTGATTGTATTTTTAATTTAGTTTATTTAATCTATAAACATGTATATAGATAACAACATTTTGTATAAACATTTAAACATACATTTTTCATTATAAAAAGATTATTTTACAAAAATAAAACTTCTCAGTGATAAATATTAACACACAGTTTTATGATTAACAAGTAAGACAAAAATATTTTATTTTGGTTAATTTTTGCATATATATCACAACATAATAAGAAAATATATTTATATTTTTTGTAGAAATTTTATATTATGAAACGAACAATAATTTTGCTGTCTATATATCCGGCTTAAACAGGTTAACTAAGCATGTTTGTGATATGTATTAACATAATCAGATATTCAATTGCAACAGTTACGTCTGCTACTGAAAGGTTATTTAACTAATTGTTAATTATTATTGATTTATTTACGTGGAAATTTCTTCTAAATTTTTAAATTAAAAATATAAATATACACATATATTTATATACAAAAATTTAATTACTGATAAAATATGATTAACATTTTTTATATATTTCCTTATTTCATAAATTTTAAAAATTAAGGAGTAAATTATCTCCTCCTAGGAATATTTTTAAAAAGATAACGTGGAAAACAACAGTAAAGTATATGCAGTACAGTAAGGAAAACCAGAATACAATATTGTACTGTTGTTTTCCTGATACATCTTTATAAAAATGAGGCTCTTTCCAAGAAGAAGACAATTTCTTGCCCTTGTGACTATTACTTTTTAAAATTTATGTAAAATAAATAAATATTTATAACGATTTTCGAAAAAAATATATAAGAAAGCTAATAAAGAAACAGTACAATAAATTATATATTTACTATAGTGTACTGTTTATTATTGTTGTTTCCTCGTAATTTTTTTAATGGGGCTTCATTCTAGAGATAGCTAACTTCTCACACTTTATATATAGCTTTATAATAGCTTTCTCAGCATTACATTTTAAAATTTATACAATAAACGAATAATTTTCTTTTTAATTTTTTCAAAAATATAAAGAAAACCACAGTTTACAAGATATAA